GGCGATCTTAATGCAGATATGGATAGACCTCATAATCCAAATGGTGTCAAAGAATTTTTTACAACACTTCAGAATCTTCATTTATTCGACGCGTGCACTTTAAAGCATAGTAATGATTATGTTAAATATCTGATTTTTATGTCATCCTCATCAACGTATCGACTTCGTTTGGACTTCTCCTGAATTTACTTTTAATTTCACCACTTGTAACACTGAACCAGTCTTACCACAGGTCTCAGATCATTCGATCGTTATGTGCACTGTTGAAAATTTCCTCAATATTAAAAACAACAAACATAATATACCTAGAAAAACTGTGTATGATTATGACAAAATGAATGATGAACTTTGGACTGAATTCAAAACCAAACTTGATGGGCTCATTAACAGCTGTGAACTACATCTTCTCAAGTATAATACAAAACTTAACCAGATGAAATTCAATCAGTATTGGGACCTACTGCAGACTTGTATCATTAATGCAGCTAATCAAATTATACCTTCACATAAATCCAATGGTCAACATAAATTAAAGAAGCTACCCTTGTTGTCCAAATTATATTCAAAGCTTCGTTTCTTATATAAATTTACTAAGCAAATCAAAATGACTTGCTAGACAAATAATTTGCCACAGGATTGGGTTTCATCCTCTATTAAATTCTATGATCTCGCTCATGAGTTTGGAATTAACCTAGTTTCTCTACCACCACTTCCACCAATTGCCCTACTACAATCATTAATACCTTGTTTGAAAATAATACTTAATTGTATTCTCATTAAAACTAAACTTCATGAGTACAAGTTCAAATTAAAGTCAATCCAGCAAGCAATTGAGTCTAGGCTTGATAACTATGCTACAGATCCATCTAGAATGATTGACTCAGTCCTTAACCATTCAAGAAAAACAATTATTTTGGATAGATGTCTCGATCTGAACTCTTCATCACGTGATCTCTTGACTGAGGAAATATGAGTTAAGAATGCGATTAATCATCACTTTCAATTTGCAGCTGACACTTCTCATGAGAATAAGGATATCCCGGATGATTGGAGTCAATCCTATAAGCCAGTAGATCATGTCAACAAATCTATTTATAATGATCTTATGGCTTTACCAACAGCTGACGAATGGTATGAGGTCTTCGCTACTCTGCCAAATGGTAAAGCTCCTGGTCCTTCTAAAGTATCGAATGAGATGCTTAAACATCTGGGTCCTCACACAAATAAAATACTTTGGTACATCATTCGGTCTTGTGTGGCTGATTCTACACTTTCCCACTGATAGAATCATGTGTTCGTATATCCTATTCCAAAATCCAAACCGTGGGAATATGATATGAATAATACAAGACCAATTACTCTTTTAGAATGCCCTGAAAAGCTCTTATTAAATTACTCAATAAAAGATTCTCTACTATTATGGTTCGACATAATGTATTAAAGGGACTCAATTTTGCGGGACTTTCTTACAAATCAACATTCGAACCACTTCGTATCTTAGATAATGTTAAATATGATTCCATCATCAACAAAAAAATCTCTGGGTTTTGATGCAAGACATGTCTAAAGCTTATGATCACGTAAACTTATTCATGCTCATTTGAGCGCTTGAAAGACTGCACATACCTTTCAATTTTATCAGATTTATACTCAAAATATTTGGCAATCGCTTTAACCAAGTTTTTACTTTTTTCAGAAATACAGATTCTTACAGAGTCACCTCTGGTATTGACCAAGGAGAGATTATCTCCCCTATTTTGTGGTGTATATATTATGATCCACTCTTATGCAGAATACATGATTCCCCACTTGGGTATAACTTGTCGCATCAATGGAAACCAGATATTTCTACTAGTGAAACCTTAACTGAATCTGTTAAGATTGCTACACTCGCATATATGGGCGACACTTTGTGGATTGCTAATTCAAGAGAAGATCTTACCAAAATAATGAAAATCGCTAACAGTTTCTATGATCTCAATTTCATTAAAGTTAACTGGAAAAAATCAGTTCTTCTTACAAATAACGACAGACTCTGTCAGTCAATCACTTTATCTTCCATTAATAGCACGACTACAATCACCCTCGGCCTACCAATGACTCAGCAAAATATCTTGGTGTCTGGATATCTTTAGGACCCAACAAATCATTCATTAGTAAATCTATCACCAATGAAATTAAATCAGCAGTTTTAATCATGAATCACAAAAGATTGACTGACAAGCATTTAGTTTATATATTTAATTTTGTCTTGATACCACGCATTGAATACCGCTCTCAATTAACGTTTTTTATTAAAAAACAATGCAAAGGAATTGTGTCACCATTTACTGCCTTCATGAAGAAAAAGTTGAAATTATCACGTGACACCCCTTCATCAATTCTTCATTTGCATTTTTTTTATAACTTATCGGACTTTATCAGCGGCTCCTTACAGTACACAGTAAAGCTTTACTATATATGATGAATGATTCTGGTATCATGGGCACTACTATCAGACTTCGTATCCTACAACTGAACAACAAGAATGGCTTCATGAATCTCCTCTCATCCTGTGGCCTTATAATAACGCTGCTAAGTTCAAGGACTGGCTCTCATGTCTCCTCTGCGATTGGAAACATTTGAACATTTCATTCGATCTAAACGATGTTCGCCCTAATCTTATTCTTAGAGGAAATACTTCCATCTCGTCATTTATACAACACAATTATAGAGGAATTGTGAAAGAGTTACGGCATTATTCTTTACTCTTCATGAAGTAACTGGTTAATGCAGACAGTAAACAGATGTTAACACTTTACGATTATTGCGTATGATCGGACGTTCCTCATGCAACAAAATATCCTAGGTAGTTTGATACCTTACAAATGGCACTTCTTTCAAAATGGTTCTTCTAGAGAGACTATTGCATCTTTTCCTCATGTTGTCTCTTTACGGTACAATTTCCCACCACCAGTAAAACACAATAACAAAAATGTCTTCATCCTGGGTTAGCACATGGAAGATAACAAACCATTCATGAGATAACTTTTAAAAGTTGATTCGGATCATGTGCACGTGATGCATTTCATCCCCACGATTGGTCGTAATCATAAAACTTTATTCACAGAATGCTCTCGATGCTTATATTATGATTCATTAGCTTATGTATCTAAAGGTTTCAGTATTATTAGTGATAGTCTAGTTATGACGCATTAATACTGCGCCAATTACAATTAGCGAATGATGATCCCATCGATCATGAATCTCAACTTTCTCTAATTTCTATAATTTCTATCATTTCTCTAATTTCTTAGCGATCTTAGCGATCTATAATTTCTT